AATAGCTCAGAAGGTAGCTTAAGTTTTAGCAGGGTAGGATCACAACACCTTGACCAGGACAATCCACCTCTGAGCCTCGTCTACTATGTGGTTTCGGAGTTCTGAAGCTCAGAATGTTACATATATGGGAAGCAGAATACAATAATCTATGGATTTCTCTGGATTCCATTCCCAGTCACCACATGCCCCAAGATTTCCAATAAATCAGAAAACCTCACATTTGCATTTTAGTATTTCCAAAGGTTTTATTATTATTATTATTTTTAGAGACCGGGTTTCACTATGTTGCCTAGGCCAGAGTGCAAGGGCTATTTACAGGTGCGATCATAGCACCCGACGGCCTTGAATACCTGGGTTCAAGCAATCCTCTTGCCTCAGCCTCCCAAGCAGCTGGGACTGCAGGCACCCGGCTCCCAAGGCTGTTTTTATTTTTAGTTTTTAAAGTTATGTATAGATAGCAAATAAAACACGTAGGAGTGAGCCCTCTCAACTCTTACTCCTCTCACATCTCCCTCTCAGTCTATACATAATCAGAAACCTGGGAGGGGCCCCGATGTTGTCAAGTAAACATCTCAGATGTGATAAAAAAGGATACAGGGGCCTAAATTTTAAACTTACTAGCATATTCACGTTATCAACATAAATTAACTACTGAAAGTTAATTTGCTTAAACATGTGGCTGATTACAGTTTTTACCCCATAAGTCAATCTCAATAACTTCTCTTACTTCAAGTGAAGATAGTACTATTATAAGAATAATTGTAAAGCTGCACTCATGAACAGTCATGTGCTCCATTTTCAGTGAGTCAAGAGCCATATGGTTCTCTTTAATGAATACAACGCTGGCAACAAAATCTTGGCTCTCCTTTCCTGTTACTTGCAATAAAAAATTTTTGCATTTTCCATGGAATCTGAATTACTGACCAAACTGACTCATTCAAATTAGATATACCTAATATAAACACATTTCAGGCCTAATTTTTCAGCTTTCTGCTAGCTTAAATTTCTGACTGATACCACTAGTCATCATTATTCGGAATAACTTCTATTTTTTAATCACAGTGTACTCTAGATTGTTTAGCACTCACTCTGAGCAGACTGATTACATTTTTGAGATTATTAAGTACACAGTTACTTTCAAAGCAAGAGCTATGCAACAGATATCTACTGAAGTCAGCAGATTCCAAAGCAGTTTATCTCTGACAAGCTAAATCCTAATCCAGATGTCATATTTGAGTTCTAGAGCTACAGCTTTTCATTAATACTAGTAGAAATGCTACTGACATCTCATTTGAACATGAACATAAAAGAATGCTGCTTATGTTGGGGGTACAGAATCTAACATATCTTTTTCCTCTGATACCTGCTTTAACCCATAGTGGGAGACCTAATGTGAGGCTCCAACTTCTTCCAAGACAATCCCCTTCCTGCTACTGTTAACAGGAGAATATCAGCTATGTTGAAAGAAAGAATATTCACTGAATATCAGCTACGTTGAAAGAAAGAATATTCACTGTCTTCAAAAAGGACATTCACGGTTTCACATATATAATACTTATCCCTATTGCTGGATGTTCATGCATTATCTTCCCTCTACAACAACCTTCCCAATTCTAAAGGGATATCAAAATGATATCTTTATTTGGTGAGATGTAACATTTGGAATCTGTACCACCGAATTTAAAACTCACACAGTTATTTTTGACTGTTACTCCACAACTTATACCTTCAACTACACTAACTTTGAGGACAGAATCTTTATATAAACTACCAATACACTGGGTACAGTGGCTCATGCCTGTAATAACAGCACTTTGGGAGGCCAAGGCAAGAGGATCATTCGAGCCTAAAAGTTCAAAACCAGCCTGGGCAACATAGTGAGACCCTATCGCTACAAAAAATTTTAAAAATTAGCTGGGTCTGGTGGTGTGCAACTGTGGTCCTACTCAGAAGGCTGAGGCGCAAGTATCTCTTGAGCCCAGGGGGTAAAGGCTGTAGTTAGCCATCATCGTGCCACTGCACTCCAGACTAGGCAAAAGAGCGAGACTGTCTCCAAAACAAGAAAAGAAAACACCAATGGTTGCCTACGCTATAATCATTCCAACTTTATACTTGCTAATTGGGCCTTCCTCTTATTTGCATGTTAAAGTGCCTAATTTCAGAGAAGGAATCATAATTGTCCTAACCAATCAGTAATCTCATTCCCCTTAGCCAGTTATCGATCTTGGGGTGGGCACGTGATGACCCAATTATGGCTGGTGACACAAAAGGAAGTCTATTGATAAGGTTCTAGAAAAATTATCCTGCCTGATAAAAGAGCAACATAAGTAGATCCTTTTTGTGCCCTTGCCCCATCCTTACTGCTTGGCACTCTCTCCTATTGAATACCACGAGTAAAGACATCACGAGCACTTGACGGCAATGGGAAGATGGAAGGAGTCAGCTCATCCTATGTCTTCCTACTTCCTGGAGTTAATTTTCTGCCTCACATAAACGGCTAAAGAGCTATTTAAACACAGAAAAAATGGGTATGCTATTAATTTCACCTAATGTTTCAAATGATGAATATATGTATTTTTCTTGTTTATAATTTTGTCATTAAAATTAGAAAAAAAAAAATCTGTGATGAAGAGAGCAAATGACCAATAACAGCAAAATACTGTATTTTAAACCAGTAAATATCCAAGGGAGCTAGAACTTGAAGTGTCAATATTCTGAAAAGAAGTGAAACAAAAGAAGGTAAAACCCAATAGTCTCAACCATTTTTATTCTTGAGCTATTTCCTGTTGAGAAAATGGTGAGAAAGCAGAAAGGGGTAAAAAGAGGTAAAGTATTCTGAAGTCCCCGCATTTTCCATAAAGTGGTAAAAGTACTAATGCCTAGAACTAATAAATCTCTAGGGTAGCCTACTGAACAAAAAATAAGATATAACAAGGTATTGAAGGTAATAGAAATAACGAGAGAGGAAAGAACAGACGTGACAAACAGAAAACAAATAGAGGATGGTCTGAAACCAAACATATTGGTGATTATGTTAAATGCAAACAGACTATAAACCAATAAAAGACAAAAGCAAATTTAAAAAACAAAACTCATATATATGCTGGGCATTGGCATATGGATAAAATAAGACAAATATTTCAATGTAACACAGTAGAAAATGTAGAAAAAGATCTACAAAAATATAGTCACTTGATACATGACAAAGATGTCACTGTAGTACACTGAAAAAAGGAAAGTTTTTTCCAATAAATGGTGCGGGGCCAACCAGTTTTTCATATGGGAAAAAAATGAATCTGAACTCTTAACCCACATCATATTTAAAAAATTAACTGCAGGTAGATAAATATAAATGTGAATGACACAAAAATAAAACTTTCAGAACAAAACAGGAGAATATCTTTGTGATGTTGAGGTATGGGAAGACTTGTTAAACAGAACACAAAAAAACACTAAGAAGAAAGGAAAAGAAAAAAGTTTTTTTTGTTGTTGTTGGTGGCGGTGTTTGTTTGTTTTTTGAGACGGGGTTTTGCTCTGGTGCCTAGCAGGAGTGCAGTGGTGCAATCAAAGCTAATTTTTTTTTCTTTTGCATTTTTATTGTAGAGACAGAGTCTCGCGTTGTTGCCCAGGTTGGTCTCAAACTCCTGGCCTCAAGCAATCCTCCTGCCTCAGCCTTCCAAAGTGCTGGGATTGCAGGCATACGCGACTGAGACCGGCTTAGAATAAAGAAAAGGATTAGTTGGATTTCATTAGAATTGATGATATCTTCACCATAAGATTCCTTTAAGAGAGTAAAAAAACATACGACAGAATGAGAGAGATAACAGCAATACTGAAAATGTAGCTGAAAAATGATTCATAATCAGAATGCATCATGAACTCCTATAAAACAGGGAAAAGGACTGAATAGGTGCTTTAAAAGAAGCAGTCTAAAAAGCCGATAAACACACACAAAGGCATTTAAACTCATAAATCACCAAGCAAACATAAATGGAACCAAAATGAGAGACTACTGCAACCACACTAGAATAGTCAAATTTTTAAAAACTGGTATCATGTATAGGTGAAGATGTGGAGTAACTAGAACTCTCACACACTGCTAGTAGAAATGTACATGCTATATCCACTTTGGTAATATCTTTGAATAGGGTAATTGACAAATAAAAAAAAGAAAAGGAAGTCTCTCTGACAGTATCTGATAACACTGAGATATACATATTCTATGATCCAAGCATTCCATTCTGTGATATATATCATACAGAACTGTGTACACACACATGAAACACATGCACATGAAAATTCACAGTGGCACTGTTAGCAATAGCCAAAATCTGGAAAAAAAAAAAAAAAAAAAAACCAACCAAATGATGAAATATCAATGTAGAATAACTAAATAAATTGAAGTGTGTTTACACAATGGGACATTACACCAACAATGAAAATAAGTTAACTATTGCTATACACAACAATATAGACAATTTCAAAACGTAAGTAAAAGCCACAGACATGAAAGAGTATACAGTATGAATTCCATGTATATAAAGTTTAAATGCTTACAAAACTAATCTAGATAGAAATAAAAATAATATTGAAACTGAAGGTGGAACAAGGATGGATTCTGAAACTACTGGTAATGTTTTATTTCTTGATTGAGGAGTTATATAATAAATGTTCACTTCGCAGAAATTCATCAATTTCCACACTATGATTTGATGATGTACACTTCTCTGTATTACATTATATTTAAAAGCTTACCCTTAAATGTAGTAGCTTCTTCTGGGGTGATGAGAATGTTTGGAACTAGATAGAAATGGTAGTTGCATAACATTGTGAATGTGCTAAATGCCACTCAATTATACACTTTACAATGGTTAAGTTTATGTTATGTAAATTTGACCTCAAATTTTTTAAGTTTCTGAAAACTTCAACCTCAATAAAAGTGTACATATTATTAGTGGATATTCACGAATACAAACATTAGGCTGTCATGCTGAACTTACCAACTGCAGTGTCACCATCTAATAAGTTGTCATCTTCAGATGTTTGAAAGTCCATAATCACACCTGCTCCATCTAAAAGTTCCTCATCACTGCTTGCACTTGTTATACTGTTGTAGCTGTTTCTATAGTAGCCTCTATGGAACAGCTGCTCAGACTCCATTTAGCTGTCTGATTATCTGTTGGGGGGAAAAAAAGGGAAAAAGTCTTAACGTTTTTCAAACATACAATAAAAATCATTCAGTTTAACATCACAAAAGGAAAGTTACGATCTATGTGCTAAAAAAATTAAATGCATTCACTGTAACAATAGTTACCTGTATTAAATATTTTGGGGTGAGGTAATAATTTTATTCTCATTACACAGCTGTAAAAAAGAATGAAGATTAGATCTTCAGGTAGATCTCCAATTGTTAAGTTGAAAAATGTGAAGTATATTTACATTTTTGCTTGTGTATGTATAGATTGTCTCAGGAGAGATTTCCAAGTAAGTTGCCCACAGGGTAGGGAACAAGACGGCTGAAGTACCAGGTTTGAAAAACAGACTGCCCCTTTTGAGGATTTTATCAGGTGTAAGTACAACCTGATTTTAAAAACAAACATATTTATTTCATTCTCCTTTCATCATTTTAATATTTAAATCTTCAGAGCCTATGGTCAAACATTAGCCACTGATAAAACAGTAACAGGCAACAAACCAAAAAAGGGTATGTTTTCATTGTTCTTACTCTCAATATTCTTAAATCTATATTACTCCTAACTAGTTTGAGTTTTAAATACATCCACTTACTTACTCAACACCAAAATAAGAGTTTAAGTATGGGGACATTAGCAATAGACTTTTAAGCTGCATGTGTGGGACTTGAAAGATGCAGTCATAAAAGCAGTCAAACCAGTAAGCCTTGTAAAACAAGACTTATCAGATACGGCCTAGTAAGTACACACAGAAAATGACAGATGAAGACTAAAGTAAGCACAGTTCAATTCCAGTGCTGAATTCTAGTAGTGAATTCTAATACTGAAGACTTGGGAGTGTTTTAAGACAATGTCTTATACTCAGTAAATTTTCCTCCTGCAAATGGAAAAATAACCTCAAAGAGCTTTAATCACAAAAAGGTATTTATGAAGTTTTAGAAAACTAGACTATTACTGACAATAAATATCTTTTAAACAGATTATATAAATTTCCTCACTTAAAGTATCACTTTGAAAAAGGTGAAGTTTTGAGAGCTCCTTGAGAGCATGCCTCTACTCTCCACATCTGGCATAATGACTGGCACAGTGTGAGAACAACAAATGTCAAACTATTCCATTCATGATGTCAAAAAGAGAAATATATTCAGTTTTCAATTTTAAAAAATCCTGTCTCCAAGAGTATTAAACTGTTCTTAGGGGAATAACCAAACCTAGCAAATAAATTAAAAAAGAAAAATGTAAATACCTGCTGCTTTGCAACTTTATGAATGTTTTATAGTTACTGCTACCAAAGATGGCATATTATACTGAGATTTGTTAGAGTATATTAATTGAAACAAAAGGAATGTATGAAAGTAGCTGTTCATACTAAGAAATCTGCAGTTCCATAGAGGCAAACAAATTAAATATTATGTGGCTTTTGAGAAAATAACCAAAAGGCTTTTAAAAACATAAACATTAATAGTTTAAGAATCTTTTAATTTTGATGTAGCAAAGCATGTATGCTAAGATTTTGTGAAGAACACAGACACTGTGTTTTTATTTCTTTACAGAATAGCAGGGCTTAATACATGTGATAACATTTAGTGAACATTAGCTAGAGGCTACACAGCACTGAGAAATCTCTCTAAAATCATTAAACCTTTTTATGTGTTAAGACTTCAATCAGCAAATTCCAATATATCTCCTTCATTTTATCCCTAAAAATCTCTCAAAAATCCTAAGTGGTAACAGGAAATTTTAACTATTTCTGTCAAAAAAAATTAATTTCATAACACCTTTGAGACACCTAGCTTGGAGATCATTCTTTATAACATGAGCACGCAACTCTGCTCCAAATAAACCAATTAAACTCAGACCTGCAGGGGTTTCATTTCTATAAATGTGATAACTTAAGATTAAAAAAAAAAAAAAAACCTATTCCGCTAATTAACCCCGAAACCTATAGAGCTGTGCTGACTGATGCAGCAGCCAGCAGCTACACATAGCTGTTGAGCCATTGAAACATGGCTGGTCTAAACTGAAATGTGTTCTAAATGTAAAATACCTACCAGATTTCCAAGACTCAGTATTTAAAAAGGATGTCAAATATTTGACTAGAAATTGTATACAGATTACATGTTGAAATATTTTAGATCTACTGGGTTAAATAAAATATATTTAAAATGAATCTCACCACTTTCTTTTTACCTTTTTAATGTGGCTACTAAAAAATTAAAAATTACCTACGTGGCTTGCATTTGCGGCACTAACACTTTTATTGAACAGCACCGCTATAAAATATTCAAATTTCTATAGCAGCGTAAAGGACATATAACAAAAAAAATCTGAACACCAGTGTTGAATATTTTTAGGTTCTAAACCCAGTTTCCAGGTTTGGGCACAAAAGGCTATTTAGACTCTAACACAGCAGCCGAAATTTTACATATTTAAACAAATAATAATGCAAAGTCACCTTTTCCGTTTTAACTGCCAAAAAAAAAATCATTTTAAAACATTGTAATAGAAGTGCAGTAGCTTGTAAATATGTTCTTACGAAATTATAAAAATTAGACATAAGCTGGGTGTGGTGGCGCATGCCTATAGTTCCAGCACTTTAGGAGGCTGAGGCAGGTGGATCGCTCGAGGTCAAGAGCTCAAGACCCACCTGGCCATGATGGTGAACCCTACCTCTATTAAAAATAAAAACATTAACCGGTCGTGATGGCAGCTGCCTATAACCCCAGCTACTAAGGAGGCTGAGGCATGAAAATCACTTGAGCCAGGGAGGCGGTGGTTGCAGTGAGCTGACATTGTGCCCCTGCGCTCCAGCCTGGACAATAGAGTGAAACTGTCTCAAACAAACAACAACAACAACAACAATAATAATAATTAGAGATAACCTATGAAAACTGCCAGGAATAAGGCCTTGTTTACCTAATAAATTCCTATACTATCTACGTGCAATTATCTTGCTTCCTTCGAATCTGATGACACTGCAACCTGCAGTTTTTTTTCCCAAAAAGTAAGTTTGATCGTAATCTCTCTCCACTCCATGGTAACATCTTTCAATCATTGTCTACTACCCTTAAGAGACAAACTCTTTAATATAGCAGAAGAAGTTCTATGCAGCCCAGCCCCTGCTAGTTCCCCAGCTTCTTTTAATAATAGCCGTTCTGACTGGTGTGAGATGGTGTCTCATTGTGGTTTTGATTTTTATTTCTCTAATGATTAGTGATGTTGAGCATCTTTTCATATACTTATTGGCCAGTTGTATATCTTACTTTGAGAAGTATGTACTTCCTGGAGTACTCTAGACTCACTGATCTTCTTTCAGTCTCTCAGCCCTACCAAGCTCTTTCCTGACTCCTACCCCAAGGCCTTTGTCGCTCCCTCTGCCTGGATCATACCCTCTCCTCATCACCAACTTACTCTCTCAATATTTTGTTGAAGATTTTTACATCTATGTTCATCAGGGATATTGACCTGTAGTTTCCCTTTTTTGTTGTGTCTTTGCCAGGTTTGGTATCAGGGTAAAGCTGGAATGAGTTAAGGAGGAGTCCCTCCTCATTTTCTGGAGTCGTTTCAGTAGAATTGGTACCAGCTTTACTTGTACATCTGATAGAATTCAGCTATGAACACATCTGGTCCAGGGCTTTTCTGGTTGGTAGGTTTTTTTATTACCGATTCCATTTTGGAACTCGATATTGGTCTGTTCAGGATTTCAATTTCATCCTGATTTAATTTTGGGAGGTTGTTTGTTTCCAGAATTTATCCATTTCCTCTGGATTTTCTAGTTCATGTTTACAGAGGTGTTCATAATAGCCTCTGGGGATCTTTTGTATTTCCATGGGATTGGTTGTAATGTCACCTTTGTTGTTTCTCATTGTGTGGTGATTTGGATCTTCTCTCTTTCTCTTTGTTAATCTAGCTAACATCTGACAAAGGTATAATATCCACAATCTACAAGAAGCAAACAACTCAACAAGCAAAAAACAAACAACATCATTAAAAAGTGGGCAAGGACATGAACAGATACTTCTCAAAATAAGATATACAACTGGCCAACAAGCGTATCTAATCATTAGAGAAGTGGAAATCAAAACCACAATGAGACACCATCTCACACCAGTCAGAATGGTTATTATTAAAAAGCCAAAAACAACAGATGCTGGCAAGGCTATGGAATGCTTATACACTGTCAGTGGGAATGTAAATTAGCTCAGCTCCTGTGGAAAGCAGTTTGGAGATTTATCAAAGAACTTAAAACAGGAATACCATTTGACCCAGCAATGCCATTACTGGGTATATACCCAAAAGAAAATAAATTGTTATCCATAGAAGATAGATGTGCTTATATGTTCATTCACAATAGCAAAAACATCGAATCAACCTAGGT